GTATACCTGTAGCGAAAGTACTCATTGATAATGGAGTAGCTATAAACACTATTCCATCTAGGATGATGAGGAAATTTGTAAAGACAGAAAGTGATATGATTCTAATAGAAGTCATCCTTACAAGTTTCAATGGAGGAGCAACTTCACCTAAAGGGGTTATGTCATTGGACATAACTGTTGGGACAACTACTAGGACCACAGTTTTCTTCGTGATAGATGGTCCTACTAGTTACAATATGTTATTAGGAAGGGATTGGATACACAGAAGTCGCTAGATACCTTCATCGCTCCATCAATACCTGGTTTTCTGGAATGACAAGGGTGAAGCAGAAGTGGTGCGGCAGATCATAGACCTTTTGTTGCAGAAGCAAATTCCGTGGAAAGGTTCATGTACGAAGGAAATTATGGACCTGTCAGAGTAGTCTAAGATGGAGAAGAAACTCAAACTATTGCACAGAGTGAAGAGTCATTTTCAGTAGATGCGCTCACTAATATGTTCAGTCAAATGAGGCCAAACATAGTGGTCCTGGAGGAGCCAGTAATTGGCAAAAAAGTAATCAAAGAGTTTTAAATGAGTTGCAAGCAACAAAGGCAAACGGTTGATGTTCAGGCCTTCAAAGCCAAGTTAATGGTTTTCAATAAAGAATGCAATGATAAGGCGAAAGAAGAAGCAGCTTTGAAAGCATTGGGAGACAAATTGGCAGTGTTCGAGTTGGAACAAAGTATTGGCCGAGAAGTCAACAAAGTGGATTGTTTAGAAGAAGAAGTGCCTATAAGGGACATGGATAATGAAGTAATGAGGATTACTAGCCTGGATTGCATAAGACCCTCTAATCAAAGTGAATATTGTCCATGAAGGGGGAAGATCGCCCAACATTCGTCAACCGATGCTCGATCAAGAGATTAGTGATAAATTAATCACTTTATTAAAGGAATATAAGGATTGTTTTGTTTGGAAATATGAACATATGCCTGGTTTATATAGAAATTTGGTGGAATATATATTGCCAACCAAGCCAAATTTTAAACCTCATAAACAACCTCCTAGACGTTTTGCTCCTAATGTACTTCCTGAAATTAAGAAATAGATAGAGCGATTATTAAAAGAAGGCTTTATTGGAACAGTCAGATATG